GATTTAACTGCACGAGGCTCCATCACGCCCCCATGAATCGAGAGTAACATGTACAGAGGGTTTTTCAGAGCAGAACAAATCAGATCACTGATACAAAGCATTCAGCATAAATTCCAGTGTAATGAATATTATTTATAACTTAGTAATTAGAAAAAAATCTTCACCTCTCGTTTTGCATTCTGTTTGTTGTATCTATCCATGCCGAAAGCTTCAACCACACTAAACAATCCCCACATCCCTGTCTCTGGCTCAGACCCGCCCTTGACCCCCACGTGCATCATCCTGGGTCCATCTGTCCCCTCAGGCTCACCGCCAGCATTTGCTCTCATCACCTTGCCCCATAACTCTGTGTCATTGACTAAATGTTGCCCCTCACCTCGACTCTTCTGTTGAAGCCCTAACCCCCAGCACCCCAGAACATGACTGTGTTTGGTGACAGGATCTTTAAAGAAGTGATTAAGTTAAACTGGGTTCATTAGGGTGGGCGCTAATCCATTATGACTGGTGTTCTCGCGAGAAGAGATTAGGGCACAGGCACAGGCGGAGGGAAGACCTCGTGAGGACACAGGGAGAAGACCCAGAAGAAACCAACCCCTTGATTTTAAACTTCCAGCCTCTAGAACTCTGAGAAAGTAAGTTTCTATTATTCAAGGTAAATTTCTATTACTCAAGATACCCAGGGAAGCCCTAGCGTACGGATACAGTCTGCTTCTCCTCACGGGTTCCCGTCTCAAGGATGGCCCCCAAATCTGCCCATTACCCCAGCGCAGTGGCTTTAAAGAAAATGGCCACAATATTGTTTGACACTTCTCCCAGTGAGATGTAGGGTCTATGCCGTCTCCGCTTGAATCAGGGTGGGGGTGGCTCTGCTTTGACCGATGGAATGTGGCAAAAAAAAAAAAAAAATGGTGTCATGTAACTGTCAAGGGTAGGTCAAAAAAGTCCATGAAGCTTCTAGTTCTCTTGCTACACCTTTTCCAGAGGACGACAGCCCTCATGCCAGAAATCTGATTGCCTTGAGCCTGCCAAACTGGAGAGGCCACACGTAGGCGCTCCAGTCTGTGGTTCCAGCCTAGTTAAGCGTTTGAGTGATTCCAGCCCAGGTATCTGACATGTGAGCGAAGAAGTCCCAGGTGACTCCGGTCCCCAGCCTTCCAGTCATCCCCAGACCGCTGAGTCCTTGGTGGTAGAGGAAAGTAACGGCTCTGTGCCTTGTCCCAATTCCCAGCCCGTACGATCCATGAGCATGATTGAATGGTGGTTTGGGGCCCTCGGTTGCACAGCAATGGTGGGTTACGAGCGTGGGTTCCATAGAGAGCCTTCGTTCTCCCTCCATCCCGTAGCCATGTGGTCTCCAAGCCCTGCGCACCAAGCCTGGACCATCTCTCCCTAAACCACACCTTCCTTCTGTCCCGCTGTACATGCCCCGGTTCACTTTGCTGTCTTGCAACAATCTCTGCTCTAAGATCTCTGCCTCCGGTTGGAAACATTCCCAAATCCATCCTGTTTACAGTCCCCTAGAACAATTCTGTTTTTCTGAAGGACACACGTGACAAGTCCCTCTCCTGCTTAAATGGCTTTTCATGGTCTTAAGGAGAAATTCCAGATTCTTCTTAGCATCCAAGACCCTCCATGAGATGGCGCCTGACACCCTCTACAGGCTTGTCGCTGTTGCTCTCGGCCTCACCATCTGTGCTCCAGCGACCAAAGGGAGCCTGCGATGTCTCGGCCCCTCTCCTGTGTCCTTTCCCCCAGTTCTGCTTAGAATGCGGTTTTTTTTCTTCCTTTACCCCAGTCTTTAAGATTCAGCCTAGATGTTACGTCCTCCAGAAAGTGACCCCAGGCCCTGTTGGCCTGAGTTAGTTGTTTCTTTTGGGGATCCCTCAGTGAGCCAGGCACCTCTCTGTCACTATACGCACCCCACGCTGCTGTGACTAAGCACTGCACCCTCTCGTCTCTCCACCCAGGTTGTCAGCTTTTCCAGGGCACAGCCCATGACTCACTGGACTCTGTGTACTGGAGCGAGCAAGGGACCACCTCTTTAGAGGCCTGAAACTATAAAATACCTACAACCCCTTCTTCCTTGAAGTAAACTCCACTTTATTCAGGCGGCAACATGCCACCATCTCAGAAAATCAGTCATGATTGACCTAAGTCAATCAGGGCAACCTCACTTTTAATTTTCTTTTTTCTCTTTCTCTCTCCCTCCCTTCCTCCCTTTCTCTCTCCCACTCTCTGTTTCTTTCTTTTTTGGGGGGGGGGTACGGATTCATATAGAGATCAGCATGTTGCTCCATCTTGCCAATGACAAGTAAAGAAAGGTCTTGACTCCAGAAAAGATTTCCCTCCCTTATAAAATGAGAGAGGCACGTGATTGGAGTCACTTTATCTGCCTGTCTCCATCCTTCTGGCTTGGAGGGCCATTTGGATGTGATGTCTGGTACAGTGGCAGCCATCCTGTGGGCATGTTCAAAAAGCTTCTGGAATGAAACCAACTGGATGGGGGGCTGGAAGAATAAAATGAAACTCTGTTCTTGTTCAAACTCAAAATCTACCTCCTTTCGAAATTTTTTTTCGTAATAAATTTACCCATAGTTTAAAGTCACTGTAAACATTTTACACTGCATTTCCTGAGTGATATAAAAGTCTTGTTATTCATAAAGAGCCACTTTTGATCGCACCTGAGTGTATGCTGATGAGATGACTTAAGCTGGGACCCTAGGTGGCCTTAGGATGGAGCTGGTCACCAGAAAGACCAAGAGGTTACAGGGTTGCAACTTTCAGCCCCCTCACCCCCTGACCTCCAGGATGAGGGGATGGGAACTGGAGATTGGGCTCTATGAAAACTCTCGGACAGTAAGACGTGGTGAACTTTCGGGTTGCGGGACACGTAGGGGCGCTGGGCGCGTGGTGTGCCCCGCGAAAGTGCGGAAGCTCCACGCACCACCCCAGCCGGTCCCTGCCACGTATCCACCCAGACATCTCTTCCTCCTCACTGTTTTTGCGTCGTATCCTTTATTATTATAAAGGATTATTATTAAAATTATAAATTATTATTATAAATTATTATTATTATTATAAATCCTTTATTATTATAAACTGGGAAATGTAAGTAAAGCGTCTTCTTGAGTTCCGTGCACCATTCTAGCACAGTAACAAACCTGAGGAAGGAGTCCTAGGGACACTCGATTTGTAGGCAGTCAGAAGTATGTGTGGTGGCCTGGGACTTGTGATTGGTGTCTGACGTGAGGACAGTTTGTGGGACTGAGCCCTTCAACTTGTGGGGTCTGACGCTAAGTCCAGGTAGACAGCGTCACGAAAGGATTGAATTGTATGACACCCAGCTGGTGTCCCCAGAAAACTGTAGAATTTCCTGGTGTGGAAAAAACCCACATATGTGATGTCAGAAGTATTGTGTAAGTAGAGGACTGAGTTTTACTTAACCATCGTCTTTTTTTTTTTTTATTGCTCGCTTCTAATTTTTTTCACATCAGTTGCTTTTATTTTCTTGAATCTCTGAAGAAGAAAAACCCTGGACTCCCAGATTCCTTGACCCTTGACCTTTGGAGGGTTGAATTACTGTTTCCCGCGAAGGTTAGAGGTGAAGTGATATTTGGTCACCGAAGTGTCTAAGAAGAGTCTGCTGACAACGACTACTCACCTAGCCTGGAAGAGTTTCTGTCACCTGATTGGCTCCGGTTTTATTGTCCCTCCCCCGTCCTTCACCAAAGTCTCTACTAAAGCCCTTCTATCCTGTATTGCTCCACGGGAGGCAGGAAACAGTCACAGGAAAAGGATCTTGCCTGGTGGTAAGTTGGGGTCTGACAATTTAAAAATTATTGTTTGAATGCCTGCTAGATGGCAGACACCTCCTAAACCCGAAAGCAGTGCCGTACAATGTAGGATCCGCTTGCCACTTATGGCTTTTGAGCTCTTGCTATCTTTCTAGTCTGATCTGAAATGTGCTGTAACTGTAAAGTGTACTTAGTGTGTTCTAAGACTTAGTATGAATAAAAAAGCTAAATTATCTCATTAATAACTTTTATTTTGGTTACATGTTCCGATGAGATTCTTTTTGACATGTGGTATTACACAAAATATGTTATTAGAATTAATTTTCCCCAGTGTTTTTACTCTTTTTTTTTTTTTTTTAACATGGCTACTCAAAAATTGTTAGTCACATATGTGGCTCGAGTTCATGCCTCCCGTTGTGTTGCTATTGGACAGTGTTGCCCTGGAGACACGGCACTGAAAGAACGTGGTGTTCTTGTAGAGCTTACGTACTAGAGTGGGGGATATTTGGGATAGGAAATAAATGAACAAATGAACAAGAAAAGTATCTGGTGAGATAGGCTGGGCCGGGGCAGCTGCTTTGTGAGTCGGTCGGGCAGGACGTCTCTGAGGACACGATATTTCAGCTGAAATATGAATATTTAGAATGAGCCTGGTGTGGGGAGCTCAAGAGGAAAAGCACTGTAGGCAGAAGAAAGAGAAAACAAAAGCCCTGAGATGGCAACGAGCTGGCACAGTCAAGGAATCAAGGGACCCACTGTGAACGGAGCAGCGTGTCAGAGGTGCCCGCGTGAAGTCTGAGGGACATGCAGGGCAGACCCAGGGGTGCGTGGAGAGCTTGAGGTAGAAGTTTGGAGGCCATTGGCAGGTGTTGAGCAGAATAATGTCATGATCTTATTTCCCCTTTTAAAAGATCATTTGTCTCTGTCTGGATGATGGACTTTAGGGGAGGGGGCAGCAGGGCCAGGAACAAGCTATTTACAAGGTTAGCGCAAACGTCCAAGCCTGACAAGGGCTGCGGAGAAGGGTCCAAGATGGAGGTGATTCTGGCTGTGGGCTCAGTATGTTCTGTGGATAGAACCAACAGGACTTGGACTGGATTGGCCGGTAAGGGAAAAGGAAATCAAAGATACGTTCTAGGTTTGGAGCTTTAACAACGTGATGTTTAAGCTCCAGATAGATACGGACTATTGGGAGAGCGGCAGGTTGGGGAGTTTGGGATAATCAACAGTTTGGTTGGGCAGTGCGAGGCTTGGGGTGCTGATGGGATTCCCACAGAGAGATGTCCAGAAGTCAGGTGATTGTGTCTGACTAGAGCTCTGGGGAGAGGCCCAGGCTGATGGTGTCCCTGAGAGGACAGTATGATATTTTCAGCCATGAGGCTGGATGCCGTTACCTGTGGAAAGGCTAGATAGAGAGGATGGGGTGAGGGTCGAATACAAGCTGCGGAACAGCCCTAAATCCAGAGCCAAAAATGTTAGTAAAAGTGACTGAAAGGAGGTGGCCAGTTGAGCTATAAAGGCAACCAAGGGTGTATTGTGTGTACACTTTATCATCTCATGGCATAGGAAAAATGTGTTCGAGGAAGGAAAAAGAGATCCACTGGGCCCTGTGTCACTGGATGTCAGAATAAGAACCGAGAAGGGCCCACCGGACCCACCGCAGGCAGGTCATAGGCATCAGGGGAACACAGCAGGGGGAGGCTGAGGACCGAAGTCAACTCGGAGTGGATTCGGGAGATGATGTTTAGGCGAGGAAGTTAGAAGGAGGGGATATGATGATGTTTACCTGATCGTGAGAATGGTCTTGTAGAAAGAAGGTTTCTTGAGGGTTTCTTTTTTTCTTTGTGGCAGAAAAGAAAGGACTAATGCAGGAGGAAATTCTGGGAAGGAAAAGCCTTGTTCACAGTAACAGGTGCAGGTGGATTCGAGCGTTAGGGAGGGAAAGGCTATTCACATCTAATTTCTCAACAATTTCTCATCTAACTGTGACCATTTTCTCATTAAAATATCAGTCAAGGACATCGGCTGAAAGGGGGACGAGTAGAGGAAGTTAAGTAATTTGTGAAGAAAGCAGAAGGACTAAAATATTTATTTTAAAGCAAATATGCGGGAGAAATAGTCAGCTAACAAGGAAGTGCTGATTTTGACATTTGGGGCCATAAATTCAATTACATCCCTTTATTAATAACTGTGACATTGGGCAAGTCGCTTCTGTAACAGATGGTTTCCTCCTGTATTGCAGTAATGATGAGAAAGCAAGGATGTCGTAATTAGAGGTGATAAAATGGACGGGGACGAGCACATATTAGGGACTCACCAAACGGCAGCCTCGTCGTCTGTACAGGCACCATCTGTAGCTCGCAGGCTCTTTCCACCCCTTGCAACCAGAGTGGACCTGTAATTTTCAACTTTCCCTCGTTGGCCCGACCCCATCTGCCATTGCACACTCATCCTTCCAATGTCGTATCAACATCTTAAAACCAGTGATTTGGACATGACCGAGTACATCTTATCTTCTAAGTGCCTTGCAGGATGCTTGGAGGGAGGGTAGAGAAATTCTGTCTCTGGCTGAGGAAATACGGCGTGGGAGAGGGTGAACAGATTTCTGTTGAAATCAGCCTGGCTGAGCTCAAATTCTGGCTCCACCTCTTTCTAACTGGGGGCTTCATACAATTAACATAACCACTCTAAGTCTTAACTTACTCGCCTGCGCAACGGTCATACTCACTAACGTTTGTCAGTATCTACAGTGTTTCCGAGTGTGCTCGCTGCTCTAGACACGTTAGCAAATGCTGTCCGCAGAGCCTACGAGATGAGTTGTTGTGAGGGTAAAAGGAGAAGCTCTTGGTGTGTGGGCGATATTCAAAATAGCACCCACTCTTGTTCTGAGCATCGTTCTCGTCCTGACCTTGAGCTTCTACGATGCATAAGGTTCGAGCCCCACAACGCAGCACAAAGCCTGGTGAAGACCAGGAGTTCCTATCTGTACAGACTCACTTGATCTAACCTAAAAGATTTCCATGTCTGTTCTCATTTAATCCTCACCTGAACGTTAGACTTAACCATAAAATCATCCTCATTCTGCAGAGGAGGATACTGAAGCTCGAAGAGCTGTCACTGACCAAAAACTTACTGGGGAGGAGTCAGAGATAAGAATAGAATAGAACTCACTCCGGAACTCTTTACCCTGTAACAGTGACGCGCAACTGGGGGTGATTTTGCCTCTCAGGGGACATTTGACAATGTCTGCAGATAATTTTGGTTGTCACTCCTGGAGGCAGGTGACTACTGGCATCTGGTACACAGAGGCCATGGGTGCTGCTAAACATGCTACAATGTACAGGACAGTCTTCACAATGAAGGACACAACAAAGCCCCAGATGTCAATAGTGCCAAGGTTGAGAAACCCTCCGTGAGAGTGACGGTAAGAACTGGAAGAAAAGGAGGTAGTGAGTAAAGGAAAAATGGAGAAGAGTTATCTTTCTGTGGTATGACCATATCCAGGTCCTCTTGGGGAACCTCTTTCAAAGGCAGCACATTAGGGCTGCAGAGGCGGTGGCTCTGGAGTTGGTTCTACCTGCTTTTCAAATCTTGCTGCCTCCACTGACTGGCTGGGCTTGATGTTGAAAAAAAACATGGAAACCCCCGAGCCATGGTTCCACCCTGGTAAAAAAGGGATGACAATGGCTGCCTCACAACACTCTTACGAGCACTAAACATGAACAAGTGCGCGGTAATTGCTATTACTCTTAAAAAGGCCGAATAGCCCAGGGTGAGAGGATTCTTAAATTTTCATAGCCATAGAAAATCACCCTAGGTTTTACACAAAGAGATTCTACAGCGGGGTTCATGAATGTGCATTTTAACAGGCACCCTGAGTATTTCTGATAAAGCCCGCAGCCCACAGTGTAAGGAAATTTGGCCAAGTGGCATAGACAGGGGGTCACAGAGACCTTTGGGTTAAATTGGATGCCGTAGTTACCGACGTGACCTGGTCCAGAGGCTGGGATTATAACTTTTGGGTTCTTGTTCTCAAAAGCAGAAGCCCCTCAGGATATTTTCTCATAGTGTTACCATCCATAATTTAGTCCAGTGTCTACCTCTAAAGCAATCCATGAAAAGCAAAAAGGATTCTAGTCAGTACTAATTAGACTAATCAGTATTTGCTCCCAAAGGTGAAGGAGAAGCACCTTTCCTGAAGGGTGAGCAACTAAACAGAACTGTGGTCTGGTTAGCAGTTCAGAATGAGGAAACGGATGCTGGGTGGGCCACCAGCAGCGTCTGTCACGATTCATGTAGCAGAGGGAGGGCTTAGAAGTCAGACCAAGCTGGACTGAAGACCTTCTTGTACTATTTACCACTTAAGTGACCTTGAGCAGATTTCACAATTGCTCTGAATGAACATCAATTTATTCTTATGAAAACTGGAAATAATAAACATTATAGTGCTATTATATAAACCAAACTGGGTCCCATATATAGCAATTAACACAATGCATGGTCTCTAATAAGAACCCCACAAATATTGACAAAACTTGTAATTCTCATACTCTTTATCCCACAAAACACTAAAGCTGTACAAAGGGTACAACGTTTTCACATCTCCGACAGGGAAGAGCTCCATATCAAGAAGGGATAATGAAAAGCAGAGGGTGGAACACGGAGATAGGGCCCCCACTTTGCCGACTCCCTCCAGCCCAGAATCCACGGGATGTGACGTATTACTACACGTTACCAGTAACTTTTCAAGATTCTCTTCTACTGTAAACTCAAGCCAAACCCAAAATTTTAACTTGAATAGTAGACAGACAATAGGTCAAGGATTCTGACAGTGATAAGGACAAGATGTGGGAGCCTAGAGGAGCCTGGGGCTGAAAGAGGTTGCAGAGCTTGCCAGCATTTTTGCATTGAGTCATGGGTGGACACAAGTCTGTACCCACTGACCCTGACTTCTACTTTCCTTACTACGCGGAAGCTGTCTGTGCTCAATTTTCTGTTGTCTATACACCCTCAGTTCAGCACTTCTGCTGGTGGACGGGAGCCTCATAATCCTCTTGGTAAAGCAACCAACCTGATAGTTGGAATGCATGTTCATAATTATAAGAATATGTAGAACTAGTCTTTCCCAGAGAAATTTCCAAGACAGGGCCAATGTTATTGTACGGCAGTTGACAAGGCTCGGTGGAGTCTGTCTCCCAGCAGGAGTGGGAGCTACAGTGGAATTTGATGTGGGCTATGAACGGGAATACAGTAGGATGATTCCACAGCTAAGAAATGACCGCTGTTGACGTGTTTCAGGTGTGGGCACGATGGAAACCAACTTCTCCATCCCTCTGAATGCATCTGAAGAGGGGCTCCACGAGTCTACCAGCTACACTGCTCTGCAGATCCTCCCACTGGTGGTCCTGGGAGTCACCTTTGTCCTCGGGGTCCTGGGCAACGGGCTTGTGATCTGGGTGGCTGGATTCCGGATGACACACACGGTCACCACCATCTCTTACCTGAACCTGGCCCTGGCCGACTTCTCTTTCACCGCCACCCTACCGTTCCTCATAGTCTCCATGGCCATGAGAGAAAAATGGCCCTTCGGCCGGTTCCTATGTAAGTTAGTTCACATCGTGGTGGACGTCAACCTGTTTGGAAGTGTCTTCCTGATTGCGCTCATTGCCCTGGACCGTTGCATTTGTGTCCTGCATCCAGTCTGGGCCCAGAACCACCGTACCGTCGGTCTGGCCAGGAAGGTGATCCTGGGGCCCTGGGTTCTTGCCCTGCTCCTCACCTTGCCAGTTTTCATCTTCTTGACCACAGTAACTACGCCGAATGGGGACACGTACTGTACTTTCAACTTTGCATCCTGGGGTGACACCATGGAAGAGAAGCTGAAGGTGGCCATCTCCATGCTGACGGTCAGAGGGATCATCCGGTTCGTTGTTGGCTTTAGCATGCCGATGTCCATCGTTGCCGTCTGCTATGGGCTCATCGCCGCCAAGATGTACAAAAAAGGCATGATTAAATCCAGTCGTCCGATGCGGGTCCTCACTGCTGTCGTGGCTTCTTTCTTCATCTGTTGGTTCCCCTTCCAACTGGTTGCCCTTCTAAGCACAGTCTGGCTCAAAGAGATGTTGCTGCTCGGCCAGTATAAAATCCTCGATGTGCTGGTTAACCCAACGAGCGCCCTGGCCTTCTTCAACAGCTGCCTCAACCCGATGCTCTACGTCTTCGTGGGCCAGGACTTCCGAGAGAGGCTGATCCACTCCCTGCCGGCCAGTCTGGAGAGGGCCCTCACCGAGGACTCAGCCCCGACCAGTGACACGGCGACCAGTTCTGCCTCACCTCCTGCAGAGGCCGAGTTGCAGGCAGTGTGAGGAGTGTCAGAGACATTTTGGGGCTTTGTCTCGTCCTACCCTGATCCCAGTTCCAGCTTCATCTAACCTGAGTCACAGTGAGCTTCTAGTATAAGTGGCTCAAGTGTTTACTAAGGAAAAATACTTTCGTACCCCTGATTTTGTGGTAAGAAATAGACAATGAGGAGATTAGCATTATTTTTGGCTTTTAGACCTCAGCCTGTACCATGCAGTAAGGGGAGGTGGAAAACAAGCCCAAGACAAAACAAAGAGTGGTGGGAATTTGTAAGGATTGGATGAGATGGTATATAATAAGGGGAAGGCTTTAGTATTTCACCCTAAAGCAAAATGCTTGCTGTAGGTTTTTTTTTTTCTTTTGAGACAGGGTCTTGCTCTGTTGTCTAGGCTGGAGTACAGTGGCATCATCATAGCTCTCTGCAGCCTCAAACTCCTGGACTCAAGCGATCCTCATGTCTCAGCCTCCCCAGTAGCTGGGACTACAGGTACGCCCCACCACCCCAGCTAATTTTTTAATTTTTTTTTTTTGTAGAGATGGGGTCTCACTATATTTCCCAGGATGGTCTCAAACTCCTGGCCTCAAGCAATCCTCCCACCTCAGCCTCCAAAACTGCTAGGAAAACAGGCATGAGTACCTGGCCTGCTGTAGGTTTTTTGTAGCTGTTTTTTAAATCAGGCTATGGAAGTTTTCTTCTGTTTCTGGTTTGCTAAGAGTTTTATTTTTCTTTTTAAGGTCATGAATGGCTGTTCCATTTTATTAAGTGCATTTTCTACATATATTAAGATGATCATGTTGTTTTTATTCTTTTATTTATATCATCAGTTGGCCATTTCATTCAAGCTGTCAAAGTTATTGGCATGGAACAGTGCAATAACTGTGTACAGAACTTGTGATTTCTTTCAAATGATGAGAATGTAAGCTATGTGAGGGCAGGGATGTTGTCTGTATTGCATGCTGAGGGATCCCCACTCCTGATGCGTAAAATACTTCCTGGCAGGTAATGTGCACTCAGTACGTATGTATGGAATTAATGAATCTATAAACAACAGTATCACCTAGGTGTCAAGTGAGGAACCTTTAATGTCTAATTAAAATTATCCCCAGGCCTCATAACATGAACCAGGCCATGTCCAGCCCACAATATTTATAAATTCCCATGTGGCTTACATTTTCATGAACACCTCTGGTTTTGAGTTTCTGATGCAAATAAAGGACTCTGGCTAACTCTTATCTCATGCCTATGTTTTGAAATGTTAAATAAATTAACCCTCAAGAGTACTCAGCCCTTTCCTTTGCTTTCTTCAAATAGCCATTCACAAATGATCCTTCACTGTATAACTTACTTTCCTGATGCATTAGCAAAAGACACAACTCCAAATGAATTTGGAGTACTAGTCAGCTTTAAGAAACAACAGTGATATAGCACCTCTTGTATATACTCCTGGATAGAGCTGGAACACATTCTACTAAGTGAGGTGTCCCAAGAATGGAAAGACAAGCACCACTTGTACTCACCATCGAATTGGTATTAACTGATCAACACATAAGTGCACATATAAGAATAACATCTATTGGATGTCGGGCAGGGGGGAAGGAGGAGGAGGGGACGGGTATACGCATACACAAAGAGTGCGATGTCCACCATCCGAGGGAGGGACACACTTGAAACTCGGACTTGAGAGGGAGGGGAGGAAGGGCAACATACGTAACCTAAACATCTGTACCCCATAATATGCTGAAATAAAAAAAAAAGTGATGCAAAAAAAAAATGAATTATCACACGGTCCTGATATCAAAGCCTCTCACTCACTCCACTGCTTTATCCGATCAATTTTCTTCTCCCTTTCCCTCATGCCTCCTCTAAAGTTCTCTGCATTTCCAAGGCAGAGCAGTTTCTACCCTTTTCATTT